GGTGCCTGCATTATAACTACGAATGCTGCGAGCCGAACTAATAATTATCTAGTAGTATAATTACTGATACAATCAAAATCGATCATTTCCAAAAGAAGGTTTGGCGATGACCTTTCCTGTACGTTTGAAAATAATACAATGAATAAAATCTACACAATTATGTCGCCAACATAGTTTTACGTATGTGATTTGGAATATCCATTTAATTGAAATCCTAGATTGACATCAACATTTGTCAGCCTTTAAAATATACTGAGCACATGGTGTAAGTGGTGTAGATTTTGGTCGAATGTGCCATTCTAGTGAAGCACACCTCTCAATTTTGTATTCTAATCAATTCCATTTTAGTTTGTATGGTTTCTGAAGACACCCGGCAAACATGGCCACATGTATATCATCATCGTCATCATCATCATCATCCACTTCAGCAAAATGCAAAACCAATTATACCCGACTGTTAAGACTTGTCGTTGACATTGGATCAAAAGTGTTTAGAGAAGTCCTTGATGCCCAGCTTTCCCCACCTGCTGATCTGCAAAGGCATCTCAACTCTTCTCGTGTTTGCAATAAACTGAAAACACTAAGAAAAAAACATTTACTGAAGACACCACAATGGAACATGTTATATCCACCATCGCCAGGAGTGCCATCGTCGACTAGCTTTGATATAACATTGCTCTTCCTCCTTCTAAGAAATACCTGTGGTCTGCGTCCACCTGCTACAGGATGGGATGCTGCCCCAATAGAAGCTGATAAAAGTCCAGAGGCTGACCTTATTCGCGTAAAACAATGTCGAAATGAAATTATTTGTCATAAAAATGCGGCGGAACTCTCTGATGCTGAATTTGAAACCCACTGGGCTGAAATTGAGTCAGCATTAATAAGACTTGGAGGATCGCAGTATGAACCCGAAATCCAGAGTTTGAAAATCAAGTCAGTGGATCCAGATAATGAACTTTATCTGAATCATCTTCTACAATCCTGGGAAGAGGGTGAGGATAAGAAATTTGATGCTCTCAAGGAAGATATTGAACAACTAAGAGCAGGCCTGCAATCGTTACGTAAAGGTATCTTTTCATTATAAATGGAAATCATTTATATATCATATATGTATTCTTCGGTGAGATTGTTCCCTAAATATTTACTCTTTAATAAATCGTAATCTTTCTCCTGTATGTTTCTTTGGTATTGCATGCATATCAATCCTGGGTAATTTCTTCTTTAATTTTTCGTCAGAGAAATGTGCTCGGAGGTGGCAGGGGGACTCCCTTATGAAAGGGGTCGATGGTCCTTTAGGGTATAAGACACCCAAAAACCGCCCATGTCTAATATAGTGATTTATACGATTTATTGCAAACAATGAACATGCAATTAACTCAACACCACCAAAAGCATGTGAAATGTGGAGCAATTACCATTGACTATATTTTTCCTCATTAAATATGTCGTCTTTTAAAATATACAGCCAAATAAAATTTGTTCATTTTACATTCGTTTATCCAACAGACTACAATGAAGATGGAAGGGCTCAAAATTTATCTGAACAGCTAAATTCCTTTTGCAATTTGCCTCAAAAGCCATCTCATGATGTTGTCAACCGCCATGAAGAAGTGTCGATGACACTTAAGGAAATACATGAACTGACAAAAAAATATCCGGATCATGTCACAGTGACATACTTATCAGGAAATCCTGGCTGTGGGAAAAGCGAGCTTGCAAGGCAGGTTGGAGAGAAACATTTTGACAACTTCAACAAAGAAGAATCGTCGAAGTTCGTGGCTACGCTAAATGGTTCGAACTTGGAAACACTTCGACAAACTTATATGGAACTAGCAGACGATCTTCAATGCGACAAATCAGCGCTCATGACAGGATTGACAGCAGGAAACACCTCCCAAGAACAGAAACTTATTGAACTAAAATCGTTCATAATTACAAAGGTGAAAAGATATTCATCATGGCTGATGATTGTTGACAACGTTGAAGATGTTCAGATGGTGTCCAAATTCATTCCTCGTTCAGGTGATAGACTGACGCATGGAAAAGGACATATCCTGATCACAACACAAGACAAACAGTCTATACCACCTTGCGATACACATGCACACCACATCCAGCTAAGCCTTGGTATGAACCTACATGACGCAGTTCAATCCCTGCATACAATATCTAGATTTTCGTGCAACGATGAAGTCGCAGAGAAAGTATGCAAAAAGCTGGACTTTCAACCTCTAGCACTTGCTTGTGCAGCAGTGTACATGCGACAAACATGCTACACTGATCCTGCGATGAACTGGGAAAGGTATCTCGAGGAAGTTGAAAAAGGAAATACAACTTCGGCTGACGAGTTTTACGAGAAAGCAAACTTGGCATATCAAAGATCTATGACAACTGCTGTGAAGATGGCAGTTGAAACGATTATAGATAAAAGTCAAGTGATGCTGCACACTTTCGAATTTATGGCTGCCATTGCCCCAGAGTTCATATCACTCGATCACGTTCTCAACTACGTGCTTCAGTGTACTCCTGAACGGAACAAAAACTCCGTAGCTGCAGAAATAACCTCATCTTCGCTGATTGTTACCATGAGAAACGGATCTAAACGGCTACATATTCGAATACATCAAGTTTTCTATCATATTTTGCAATCAGTATATCAAGCAAAATTCTGGCAGCCGATAGACGAATTTTCATTTCTCATGAAATTCGTGGAGGTATTTTCTTATGTGAAGGACATGGATAAGACTGCGTTAAAGTTCACTGAAGAAACCGGTCCTCTAATTCCACACTTTGTCTATTTCTCTGATAAAGTGAAGCGATATTTTGAACGACATGAAGTTGTCAAGGTTCTCAATGAAGCAAACCGTTATGGAGTACATTATCAATCCACTAAATTATTTACACATCAGTACATTCCGTTATTGATTTTTCTCACAGGCAGTGTTTCTTACCTATGTGAAAAACACGGTAAATATGGCACAACAAGAGCTTTGTTGGAGATATCTTATTGTCTCATTGACAGTGCTTACCAAGGCAGCAATCATCCTGACGTAGCTGCAACGCTGAATAGTCTAGGAACAGAGCTAGCAAATCTCGGAGAACATAATCAAGCCAAACACTGTTGCGAGAAATCACTGGAAATTACTCAAAGTTTTTACAACAGCAATCATCCTGAGGTGGCTGTAACATTAAACAATTTAGGAAAAGTGCTAGACAACCTTGGAAATTACAATGAGGCCAAAGTTTGTCACGAAAAAGCACTGGCAATTGAGAAAAGCACTTATGGTAGTAACAGTCCTGAGGTAGCTTCAACGTTGAATAATTTAGGAACAGTGTTGCACAATCTTGGAACACTTAATCAGGCCAAAGAGTGTTACGAAAAGGCATTGGCAATTGAGGAAAGTAATTTCGGTAATAATCACCCTGAATTGGCATCTACGTTAAATAACTTAGGAACAATCTTAGACGATCTTGGAAAACATTATGAAGCTCAAACGTGTTACGAAAAAGCACTGGCAATCGAAGAAACAACTTACGGCAGTAATCATCCAGAGGTGGCTGCAACGTTGAATAATTTAGGAACGGTGTTAGATAATCTTGGAAAATACGAGGAAGCCCTAAGATGTTACCTACGAGCGCTGGCAATCAAAGTAAGCACTTACGGCATCCATCATCCTGAGGTGGCTTCAACTTTGTGTAATTTAGGAACAATGTTAGACACTATGGGAAATTTTGATGATGCCAAGAAGTGTTACGAAATATCGCTAGAAATTGAAGAAAGCACATACGGCAGAAATCATCCTGAGGTGGCTTCAACTTTGTGTAATTTAGGAACGGCCTTCGCCAATCTTGGCGAATTTATTCAAGCCAAAAAGTGTTACCTAAACGCTCTGGAGATTGAAGAAAAAACGTACGGCAGCAATCACATTGAGTTGGCAACCACATTAAAAAATGTGGGATTAGTGTTAACGAAACTCGGAAAACCTGATGAAGCCCAAGAGTATTTTGAGAAAGCACGGAAAATCGAAGAAAGCAATTAATTCCAGTAGCGCTGGATTTTCCCCTKATGGCTGCAGTGTCAATGAATTGGGGAAACAGTGATGAACAACCTTGATTTTTTTTATTTCTATATTAATTTTCGTTTTAGACTAATTCAATAAGCCGGTAATAGTTACCTCGATCCCTAGAGGTGCGGCAAAAACATAATTGGGTCTGCTCTATGAAGAACCCTAGTAACCTTTATACAGTTAAGTACTCTATGAATAAAATACGGCTTTTTCCCGTTGAAAGCGAGCAACCACTGCTTTAGTTTACAACAATCTCATATGCGCAGAGACCTTATCAAAACCAAAATGAAAACATGAGAAATTGAAGTAGTGTATAAAGAACGAAAATGTGTGTTTTATCGGGTGATAAAGATCCGAGCCGACAAACTCTTGAGTTCTTTATACTACTTCTAGAACTTCAACATCCAGAAATTGTTATCATTTTAGAAAAACTAAAAAATGCGAAAACAGTGATTATGCAAATTTTAACATTTCAAAAACTTCTATACTGAGCATGTGTATTTGCCACAATTGAAAGAATTTTGATCCCACACGTAAGAACGACTAGTCTATGCTATACTGCAGGTCTGCACATTGATTCAAGCTGATTTAAAACSTAGCAAAGGTCTATGATGTGACATTCTAGAACTCATTAATAATTCATAAGCTATTAGTTCAATGAGCATCGAACTATTTGGTCACATGATGGATCACTATATATCTGATGGAGGGACCTACGTAGCACGCAGTTGATGTAATGTATTCATAAAATGTATTCCATTGTTTCTCGTTTTATTACTCGGGGTTCCAACCAAAGGAACCGCGAGTTTAAATTTCGGCTGTCTTGTCGTCGTCGTCTTTGGTTCACAAATTTTCTCGGCCAAACTAGAAGGCACTGGGTACGAATGTTATCATGTGCTATCTTTATGGTGKCGARTGTACACGAGAYGATYGAAAGACATGGCTTTAACTTCAAATACGCTCAAATCACTTACAAATCCAAAACACCATTCGCGGTGTAGTCACAGTAAAAAATGTCGAACGTTTTTCAAAAGAGCATTYGGAGAGATACCATTAATTTAGCGTAAAACTTATAGTGAAGTTTAAGCTTATTTTGCTGTCTATCGATCGCAGTCTATCGAGAATTGTCTTATCGCGAACTAGCATATACGGGCTTTGAAACTACAAAGGACTTATCTAAGGAATACAAACAGAATTCTACCAATAACCGACGATTGGAAGTATTTTATTTATCGGAGAAGATAAAAAACTCAGTGTTTATAGCCTGCCAGTGTGACTCCTATCCCCTACTATCAAAGTGAGGACGCGGCTTGCAGCCAAATAATAATAATGGTAAACTTTTACTCCGACGGATTAACGCCCGAAACGTCAGTAAGTTACTTCACCTACTTTTTTACGGTGTTTAATTTATCTTTTTACACAACTGTAGTTTCTTTAGAAACACCGACGCAGCTCACACTAGTTTACCGCTAGTTCCCACCATTTTGAACAAATAAATATACGATTTGGGAAATAATCTTAAGAGATTTATTAGTGATTGGTTAAATTTTAAAATTGACAATTGAAGTTTTATACGAGAGGCATTTTTCTCAGATATTAGGAACTAGAAAACGTATCCATTATAATGGAATCGTCAAATAATTTGAACTTTGTAGGATCTAAAGCGTGGATTTAACTASCGCATAAGCACAGCATAAGCACAAGCATGAGAATCATCTGCGCCAGTGAGAACGGGCTCGACATAAGCATAAGACATTGAGCATGCGCACGAGAGTATTATTTCGGTACCAGGCTAAGCTTATGCCTATGCAGTCCCGTTCTCACTGAGCATAAGCATGAGATAAGCACAAGAAGATAAGCCCACGGGTAGCCCAAGGTCTTTACTTGATATAAGAGAATGTATGTGAATCTATGTAAACAGTTGATTGATGGCATAAATATACAATAAATTTCGCTATAACTTATTGTGTGCATTATTATAGCTACTGGTAATCTCTGGAGCGATTTTCAGARCGTTTATGAATTTTTCCTCCTCTTACCATAATCTTTGACAGGGTAGGAAYCGAAGCCCTCCATATCCACTTCGAACAGCTCTAAATTTGGTCGATTTTTTCGTCGCCAAATTCGACTCCTAACGCAATGTGCCTTTGTACAGCTGTCAACTAATAACTTACCACTGCAGAAATGCTGGTTTCATCGAGCCAGTTGATTTTCTTGAGCCATAACGGCTCTCCTGAGGCAAGTAAAATCCGTGTCAAAACCTCAATGTTACCACTGTGTACGAGAAAGTACTGTACAAAAGAAGCGGCAGGAGCCTTGACACTAATGCAAAAGATCCACTGTGCCGGGAGGTCATGTCTACGAAATTAATTCAGTCTTTGCTTTTCTTCAACCATTCACAGGTTCGAACGTGCCACATGGCCCTCGAATATGTGCATGGAAAAGTCCGCATATCGCATTTGCGAAATTCACACTCCATGATAGCTTACTCGCCGAAAAAGCGAAGGAAAYACGATTCCGCTACCACCAAGATCTGGACGGCTTGGGAGCGAATACAAAGAGTTTTGATTTACTTTTGACGCGTGTTCGCGAAGAAAATCAAGGTTAGAATTTTTAATATGTTTCTATCGCCAATTGGTCAGTACAGAACAAAAATTAATTATAAAATATAGACGGCAGCAATCCCAACAAAAAAGACAGGAAAGAAAGAAAAAAGGCAAGAAAAAGAAAAATGTGGAATCGATACGTAATATATCACCAAAGAYTTTATTGTAATTAACGATCAACGTGTTTTTTATGGACGATCTGTGATTTCACTTCCTGAAAAACAAATATAACAATACTTTCTTAGTCCTCTAAATACAGCCTTTTGCAAAAATTATGAGAATTGTTGAAATATCTAAATATCATAATATAGAGTGCATGATGGGTAATCCCGCGCGACGCCCTTAGTCACTTGTCTTTGTAGTTTAGTTTTTTTTTGGCGACAGACTTATCCGTAGTTCTGAACATTTTCTCGATGTCAACAATGAATTATTCTAGCAAACCCGCGTGTTCGGGACAAAGGRTCTCGCGCGGGATTACCCATCATGCACTTGATATTATGATATTTAGATATTTCGACAATTCTCATAATTTTTGCAAAGGGCTGTAACGGAAACAATCAAACAATTTCTTTTATTTTTATCAATTTCGTGTGAAAGTTGGGATGAATGCCTAGCCTCTATCAATTCTTCTCAGAACACAGAGGATGTATATACTATATATATTTTTTCGGCAAATTAAGAAAAAACTTTAACATTGAAAGTGTTTGAAAGAAGCCAAAGTTATAAGTCGAACATCAAATAAGTGATCTATCTATGCCTTGAAATGAATGGCTTTCCAAACATATCGCAACTTTTCTATTTCATATGACAAGATYCTAGCAAGTAGGTTGATTGCAACTACTTTGATGTACATTTGTATTTTTGTGTAGTCATGTCTTGTTACCTCAAGATGTTGTAGCGTTTCTCTCAGTTGTGCACTATCAAGCTTATCAGAAGAACAGCAATGGGAAATTAGCACCTAGAAATGTTTCATAAAGA